AGATGTGCCCACACGCACACACACACACACACACCCACACACACACACACATATATATATATATATATATATGTATATGTATGTATATGTATATATATATGTATATATATATTATTTTTTTTAATTTTATTTCATTATCACCAAACACTAACAATAGTCACCAATTACAGGGCTGAATAACAAAAAGAAGCATAAATATAGTATATAATACAATAAAATTTGTACAAACATTTTAAACAAGTTAAAACAGATAGTGTTAACCTATTAAAAACATTCAACAAAACCTTTCGGCGAAAACATGGTAACGAATTTTTAAAAACGTCAACTGAAGGATCAAATTTTACATAAGGAATTATATAACTTAGGAAGTCGATTAATAAATCCATTTTTTTTGTAATGTTAACCCTTCCCTTAGATATTGAAAAAAGGTGCAGGATTACGTAAGTGATAAACTGGAACAGAAAGATCTAAATCTAAAAACAGGATTGAAAACCATGATTTCATAATCTGTATTCAGGTGTACGCCAAAGAAGTCCATGTTCATCCTTCCGGACGAGGCAAACCCATAAACCATACCATATCGATTAGACGTGGGTCTGGATTTTCCTCCAGCATAAACCTTGAGAAGTTAAAAATTAAAATACTCAATCCAACTAATAAAACTTAACTTTCGATGACGGCAGCAGCCTACCAAATTTCCATTGAGTGGAGGCAGCAGGCATAACGCTTGGGTCGGGGCCAAGGGCTCTTTGGCTTTCTGAGACCTAAGCCTTTTTTGGGTCTCTCGGTCGCCAATCGTGGGTTTTTATGATGTATCGTTTTTTAATAAATTTTTGTCATTGTGCTTTAAGGACGAAATATATGATATGATATCAGTGGCGGGTCCAGAAATTTGAAATAGAGAGGGGGTCTATTTTACAGATGGAGAGTCATAATCATATATTTTCTTACCTTAGCTGAGGTAAGAAAATGTATGATTATGACACCTCTAGAGTGCCGGAAATGGCACCCACAGACTTAAAATTTGAACATATATATTTTTGTCTCCATTTTAATCCGTCACTGGAGAGGCCTATTTTGCATCCGGGTGGTAGAGAAAAGACCTAATTGGAGGGCCCCGAGCCCCTATGAGTCGAGGCCCCTGCAGACCGCCGCCCGAGAGCGCATAAGCGTTACGCCACTGGGAGTGAGCTCGGTATAACGGTAAAGACAGGATACTTCTCGTATAGGACCACAAAACGAAAGGCACACCACGAAGGGTATGGTACACTGTTGACTATAAACAAACTACAGTGTTTCAAATAAATGCAAAGATTAATAAACCACACGAAAAATACACACTACTTACCTTCCCCTGATTTAGCGAAGTCATCAAGACATTACATTTGAGAAAGGTATGAGAGCTAATCCACCTCCCAATCCACCTTCATCAAGTATCAATAATAATAATAATAATAATAATAATAATAATAATAATAATAATAATAATAATAATAATAAAACAATTTAAAATGCATATACTGCAGTCTAACAAAATAATTCACATTAAAGCATTTCATAAAGGTCTATCATTAATTTTAAAAATAAACATAAACAGTGCTGTCAACCACAAACTTGAATTGAACATTTTAAAATAAAGATAAAAAATAAACAAAGAAATCATAATACATCAACAATCTGGATTTCTAATAAATATAAATGAAATAAGTAGAAGGTCTACTACAGTAAGTAGTAGGGCTTCTGTAGTTCACTGTTAAGATTACTTCGTTCGTTTGCCTCCACCTCTCTAGAGCCAGCCTACAACCCCTTCCCATTCCCCACCCCCTCCCCCAAGAAAAAAATTGTATAAAATCTGATCAAATATCTAGATACCTTCCACAGCTTTTAATTTCGGTGCTCATTTAGGGCCTTTAGGAATACTATTTTCAGGCAATCTAAGGCAACTACAGTACAATCAATTCTAGTAGTTTGAATGTTAAGTTCATTCAGTATTTTATACTGAATGGTTGTATAGGCTAAAGCTGGGCATTGTTATATAGATAGGCATAGAAGACCCAATTGTTTCACGTTAATTAATATGAATACAGTCCAAGCCAATGATAGCCTACTTTTATACTACAAACAAGCATTCAATAATGTAAAATTGTAACTAATAATAAATGAATTCATTTTTCCATAAACATCATGAATTTAGGATTTCTAAACGCCAACTGCACAAATATCACTGATTTTAAACACAATACATAGACTTGGGCTTAGACCTATAACAGTAAACCAATCCTTCTTCTAGCAGGACACCCAGGTCCTAGTCGCCTAGGCTTAGGCCTAGGCTAGAGGAGCAGTCTTGCGCTCGGACTGGCTGGTCCTAGGTAGGAGGTCTAGGCCTAGGCCTAAGTCTACCTCCATAGGCCATATTATACTAATTATTGGAAATATAAGTCATTTCCGTTCAAATAACCTACTGTGCGTGTTTGCCGTTCAATTTTACCTTGATTTGGTCGTCTTGTGGTCTCATGCTCATGGATTTTGAAGATACTTTTTCACAAAATAATATTAATAAATATTTGTTTTATGAAAACAACTCTCGGCGCATGCAACGAAAAAATACTCTTTTGTGATTGGACAATAGTTTGCGCACAGTATCTTTATTTTTTGCTGTTACGGACAAGTAGGTATACTGTACTTAGATAATTATTCTGGTTCTAAAGAATAAAATCAAAACACGATGCATTGGTAAATTAAAACTATCGAATTAGTTTCTAATCGAAAATCGAATAACTTTTTACGAGAAATGACCACGATCAAGCGCAGAAGTATAACAGGAGGGTAGAAAATGTTAAGCAATAATTTAAAAGAGAACTCGCAAAACGATTTTTTGTTTTTGAGGGGATTTTTCATATTTCATTAGAAAATGAATCAATTTTATTATCTTTATTTTGGAATTTACTGAATATGCATTTGATATGCATCAGCGGTTGTCAACTCTTGTCAGGATGAGTTTTAGCTTGGTTAGTTCACAAACTGTAAAAATTGCAAAGTTACTGTACCCATGAAAATAAGTTATTATACCAAGAAAAAAAAATTAATTAATCATTTAAGCTGTGAATCTTGTCAAATTTATTTCACTTGTAACATGGAATACATACCGTACCAGGCCCGTAGCCAGGTTCTTCCAAGGGGGGGGGGGGGGGGGGTTTCTGGGCGTGAGGTCCACAGTCGAAACCCCGGTGGGGTCGGCGAAACCCCCAAAGCAAGAGGATTTTTGTGCTTTATGGGTCTAAATAATGCTATAAAAGTAGATATGTTTGAAAATGTCTGTGTCTGGGTGGGTCTGCAGTGCATTAGTTGGGTTGGAGGACTTTTTTGGGAAATTTGAAGAGGGGGTTTCACCAGAAAAGGGGGGTTCTCCCGAACCATAAAACCCCCCTGAATACGGGCATGCGTACACAACAATCAAGTAAATGCAACAAAGAAAACAAAGGAAGCAAGGGTTGCGGAGCGGGTAAAAACCCATATAAACAACTCCCCTATGGAGATTAATAAACTTACCTGATACTGTAATAAAATTATTTAAAGGGGCCGTGGTTTAGGTGGTTAATTATTCTCCATTAACAGGAAATCCATGATTGAAATCCAGGTAGGGCTCCTTGCTACAGGTACCAAGGCGCCCAAACCAAATAAATATTTTATTTCTAAATTTAATGAGGGCGAATAATGAATTATTACATCGTAGGCCTTATAGGCATATATTACTATAACTCTTACTGTCCACATTCTTCTGCTCCTCCCATTTGTTGTAATCTTTACCAACCGTTTGAAAGACCGTTGTTGTAACAATACCATTAGTTGACGGCTCGTTCTCATTAAATCTATTTAATAAAGTATTTCATCAACAGCATTAGTACTGTATCCATTATCAGCAGCAGCAATAACAACCACAACTTTCGCAGTGCTATATAGTAAATCGTGTTATACTTATTACTACAGATGACTTAAGATCAAAATGATAGCATAACTCACCTAAATCACTTCTGGGTTGCGGTCCAGGTGAAAGTTCACTATAATGTATAATCGTAGTACGGTATGTGTTGTAAAGGCTATCGTTCAATCTCAAGTGACGCTTCATCCTCCAGCATCTCGTTGGGACGATGACGTCATCCCGGGGCGCAACGTCATAGGTCATGACCGCCCTTACAC